AACATGGGTGGGTCCGGGCGGCCGGAAAGCTCTGGATCTTTAGCACATTTAGAACTCAAAGATGCCGGTTTTTGAGGAACTTAAAAAAAAAATTGACATATCTGTAAGTTGCAATTTTGTGAATGTCTAGGGTAATCTTTCTCTTTGGATCCAGAGGTTTAATAACTATCGCACCCCACCCTACACACAACAACCAGTGGCAGATCAGAATAAATTCTAGTGAGGGCGAATCATGTGAGCCCTCACGGGCACGAAGTGCCCGGGGCGGGGAGAGGGGGTGGAGGGGTGTCCCCCTCCCACTGTGTGGAATTGTTACAAAGTCTGACCAATCTAAAGCACATCAAATTTTGGACATCACTTATATAAGAATATCAGGATTGTCCTCCTTCAGGGCGGTCCCCTTCTCATGTTTAGTGGCGGCGGGAAGACGTCCGGGCGGATTTTTGTTAAAAGGAACCACCGTTTTTCGATGCAATTATTCCTGCACTATGAGGCAGCACTATTAAACAAGTCTCATCACAATACATCACTGTTGAGTTGAGTATTTCTTACTTTTGCGGAACACCACAAGAGCATAAACATAGCTTACTACCAAATGCTGTGCTACTTACTGGGTTACCATGCAGACTTAGCCTAGGACTAAAATACCTTTGCCATGAAATTCTAGGTGGGCGGCTAGGGTTGCCGTCTACCGACCCCCCCTGTTGACAACAACCAGCACTGGATCATCTTCCCCTGAAATCTTTGCATAAAACGTATATTTAACGAGAACGTTAAACTCGCAAAAAAATAGCGAGAAAAAAACAACCAGATTTGAACCAATGTGCATAATTTTTACCCCTTATTATAAAAATGCGGAACTTATACTTCCGGTCGCGGTCGTCAAGCACCGCCCATCCCCCCCTACAAAACGTGGATGAAGTTGTGAATTTCCCCATTCAATCCTCGTGAAAATTCAATATCCTAACTCCTCACATAAGATCTATTCTATATTTCAGAATAAATCAATGATTTAACTTTCTGAGCAGTGAATTTAAAGGACTGGGGATTTTGGAAAAAATCGGATTTGCAGAATATGCGTCGCCAAAATTAACCGGCTGACGTAACTCAGACACGTTAATTTATTGGACGCCATTCTCAAACACAATACCTTTTGTTGAAACTCAGTTCAGTAAAAATAACTGTCACTTCTTGGAACGAGTTACAGGCCTATTCTTACAGGTAGAGTACCGGTCACGTTCCATTTCGTGCTAAATTATAATACATTAGCGAGAGTACCATGAATAGCGATGACAGGCCATTTGTTACGGATAAAATCCAGTATTCTATTGTCGCTGCTAAAAATACTAAATTATTCTTTCCTGAAGTAGTGGGGGATGAAAGCCACCCCAACCTCAAGATAACTTTAAGTGTGGGCGGATATACCCCATCCCCGCCGCTATCCTACGCCCCATTCAAGGAGAACTCAAATTTGTCCTTTGATATGCCTCAATCTAGCAGGCGCCGCGCGGAACGATTTTTGAGTGGCGGCCAGTGCCATCAAGTTTGCTTACGCCTCGAGTGGCCAATGCAGGTTTTCGAGGAGAGGTGGTAAGAACAGGGGGACCGGCGGTATGTGGGTCCCCCCAGAACAATCTCTTAGAATCCCCCATTATCTCCTCCTCGAAAGTAGGGATCGAACTGACATTGTAAACGCCATCGCTCCCACGCCAATAAGTGGACCGGGGACTGCATCCCCCCACCCCGACCGCTATCTACACGCTGCATGCGCATCTTTACATGATTAAACATAGATACTCACTGTGCACCGGGCGTCTGATATTGCGAGAGTAAGAATGACGCATGCGATCAAAATTACTCAACGAAAATCCGCCGCAGCACGGTGAGTAAAATGGACTTCATGCTATTATTTTACTTGCGAGTAAAAGTAACTCACGTGAGTGCGCCGGGCTTATACACTGCAAGTGAATACTTGGAGCCTTCTTATTATGGTGGCTGAGACGGTTTATGGCGCTAAAATTTTCACTTCAAAGTCATTTTTAATTCCACTTTCATTTCAATTCGTTCATTTTTTATTCAAATTCATTTCATTTCATACTTGATTTCATAACCATTTTCATTTGTTATGTCTAAACCCATTCTTCATTTTCGATTTTTAAATTCACTTTCATTATCAATTTCATTTGCTAGCGGTCATGTGTTAAGCTGAGTAGTGCGTAGGAAATATCATAATAATGTAAAACACATACAAAGCAGAAAGAGTGAAAACAAACAACCAAACGTAGATATAGCCCACAATAAAACTGTTAGCTGTTATTTTTATATAGGAAATACACTACATAGAGATATATATATAATATTATAAGCATATACGACATAGATATAGTAATATAAAACAATATAAGACTGACTGACAAATATCGATTAACAACTCGTATTGTTGTTAAACAGCCAATTTGTCCACGCCATCACATAGCCATTACGAGGCAATACCGGACCTCCCTACAGACATTTCAGTCTTTAGATATAGTTGGCGCCCCGCAAGATATCTTATCGTGTGACGTCCCCTGTTTTGCTGCTACCTCTACATCGGGACGACGAGAAGAGACGACGAGAGAGCAGACGGAGAGAGAGAGCTATGGGCGGCTGACTTTTCCATGCTAGTTTGCGTGATATCGGCTCTTGAGCCCCTGCCATGTTCGGCCGGTACGCACCTGGTGAAAAAACCATTAATGACAGCTTCATTGCTTTGCTCATAAACGATGAGCGTGAGACTGTAATTGGTGAAATACAACACCATGCGTGACGGAAATATACCACGCCACCATATCCATGCGGCGAATCCGGCAGCCGTCCCCACGCCGCCAGAAGCTCGCATACTATTTGGGCATCCTCCTCTGCTGTGTACCTCTTTCGTCTTATGAGACAATGTCCTGATGTAGTCTACTATTTGGGCATCCTCTGCTGTGTACCTCTTTCGTCTTATGAGACAATGTCCTGATGTAGTCTACTATTTGGGCATCCTCCGCTGTGTACCTCTTTCGTCTTATGAGACAAGAAAAGCATATATAAACATCTGGCAATGACAGCCGATCTAGCTGTGCAGTGAGTAAGAGCAAGCTATAGGCTATTCTTATCTGGTGCAGCAATTTTTACCCAAAACAATTGCATGGTTCATCAGGTTAGGACTGTATTTGTAACGGGTAGCGCAAGCCTTGGTAATGGGAAGATGTGGCCTCGAAAATTTGTTAACAGTTTTTTGTTAACAGTGAACAAATCCATGTTTAACCCTCCTCTTGAGGGTCAAAAAGTTATCTGACACTTACTCTTCGCACGTCAGCGGAACGTACATTTTATGGTCCTTTTAATAAACGACAACACCAACACAGATGGCAGCAGCGTGGCATCGTGCTTCAGATGGGGAATTTCTGGTACCTAGTGAGCACTAAACTCAGGAACCAATGAGTACAAGATGTAACCTTAGAAGTAGTTTAACTAATGATAACTACTAATGATAACCGATAATTACTAATGATTGATAAATACTAATGATAAGTTCTAAGAAATAAGAATGAGTAACAGATGTTAGAAATTCTCATTAATGACAGCTTTACTTGGACTATTACTCGTTAGGTAGCATCGATTACGGTACAGGATGCATTGCGCTGACGCCCACCCTCTGGATACCCAGCGGCAACTCATAGAAACTTACATTTTAGATTATGGTGAGCTTTGGTGAGTGGAGATTTCCTTTCGAACAAAGAAGGTCTGACAGTGACTCTTTGTATATCTCCAGGTAGGACACACGAACGAGGAACTCCCTGTTTGACTCCTGTGATACGAAATCGTGTCTCATTGATATATAATCACACATCGCAGGGGCCACCATGCATACACCTTCAACGTCCTTCACGTCTGGCACTGGTTCTAGTACACCGCCAACCGAATTCTACAATGCTACGTACATTAAAGGAAACCCCGGATTAATGGACTCACAGTCTATACTCACGTGATTGATTTGGTCAAATATCTCCTTGACCGCACATGGTATAACACCCAATGCAGCATCACTTCCCATCATAGTGTAAGTCTTACCAGTGCCTGTCTGCCCATATGCAAAAATCGTTCCTGAAACACAACACATGAAAAAATAAAAAGCAGCACTAAACTCGATTATATTCTTAGCTGTAAAATACCCATGCATTTAGACATATATATAAGCTATATAAACATGATTTACAAATATCTTGAACAACTCGTTGTTTAAACACAATTTGTCTCCACGCCTCTCCCATTAACAGAGCATACCGGGACCTTCCCTACAGCTTTCCTAGTATGTTGCGCAGATATCGGGCTTTGCTCTGCTCTGCTTTCCATGCTATTTTCTGATATCGGCTCTTGAGGCCCTGCCATGTTCGGCCCGGTACCACCTGGTGAAAAAAATTAATTACAGATTGTTTGCTCATAAACATGGAGACTGTAATTGTAAAAAAACATGAGGAAATATCCACCGCACATATATGCGCGATCGCAAGCCGTCCCCACGCCGCAGAAGCTCGCATGACGCGCGCCATTTAGCCTGTCTCCACGCCTCTCCCATTACCAGCGCATACCGGGACCTACCTTATTATTTTCCCAGTAAATAATTTAGAAACCGGCTCCTCAAACTTTGCCATGTTCGGCCCGGTACCACGTACCTGGTGAAAATAATAATTACAGATTGTTTACTCATAAACATGAAGACTGTAATTGTAAAAAAACATGAGTCAACTTGAAAGCTATTTATACATCTTACTTATGAATAATCTTATACAAGGCATATAGCTGACCCTACATGTTGTCCCTAGCATACAAACACTGACTTCAGTATTCATGTTTCAATGTCTCACTTCATGTACAAACATATATCTGTAATTTCCTATCACGTTCATAGCACCACATAGTGGCAAGATAACTAGGATCTGAAACCTTGCATATTTAGCAATGTATTGAGGGAAAAGACAGAAGCTTATGGCCACGAAAAAATGCGAGTTCTCTTTGTCTCCTCTGTCTATCATCACTAAAGAAATCTACACGACGTACATTTTTTTTCTAGCACATGGCTCGGCCACGAACTTGTTTTGCCAAGGCATGATCTGTAATGTAGGATTTCATCAATTTATCCTCCTCTTCTGTGTATCTGTTTCATCATATGAGACAAGAAAAGCATAATATAAACATATGGTAATGACAGCCGATCTAGCTGTGCAGTGAGTAAGGGCAAGCTATAGGCTATTCTTATCTGGTGCAGCAATTTTTACCCAAAACAATTACATGGTTCATCAGGTTAGGACTGTATCTGTAACGGGTAGCGCAAGCCTTGGTAATGGGAAGAAGTGGCCTCGAAAATTTGCTGTATTACGAGAATCGTAACGTGAATCTCACGTTTCCTTAGTTTTATTTCACAATGAGTTGCATTTCTATGGAAAGACATTCCAGATATTTATAGCATCCTTTACCCTCTGCTACAGACAGCAGTTACCTTTTGCTGCGAGTTGTTGAACTGTCAAGTTTTTTACTGCCCTCTTCAGAATGGCGTCTGGTAGGTGGTTCTGGCTGAAACAAAAATTTAAAAAAAGTTAAAAAGTTAAAAAGTTATAAAAATTCAATAGGTGCATACAGATTAACATCACGTTCGTGTGAATCCATGGGTATACCCTTAAAGGCGCAGAGGCCTAATAAATATAAATAAATCGCTAGAACATCCGTATCCTACACCGGGATTCCGGGTACGAGTCCCAGCTGGGGAACTTATTTTCCCCCTTTTTCTTTTTTTCTTTTACCTACCTCTTTAGTATGTATTATTTTTAATTTCTTACTTTTTACTTTTTATTTTTTATATTAATGTCTTTTATCTTTTGATTTCTTATTATTTTTTACTGTTTGGGATGGGATGGGATGGCATNCTCTCTCTCTCTCTCTCTCTCTCTCTCTCTCTCTCTCTCTTCTCTCTCTCTCTCTCTCTCTCACTTTCTCTCGTTTGCCTGCTCTCTCTCTCTCTCTCGCCTTCTCTGCCTCCCTCTGCCTCTGCCTCCCACTTTATGTCTCTCTGAAACTACTACGATCGGTAAGTGTACCAAGAAAAACATCTCTCCCGAGTTATGAGAATTATGCATTATTAGGTATTCAGACTGGTTCTAGCATTGACATTGCATAAACGAGTTGTTACCCCCATCGGTGCGCTATCACCGAGATATGACTAACCCGGTATGAATAGGCTAAATGGCTGTAATCTTTAGGGAAATGTAAGCAAGTACAGGTGCCACTTTAAATACAAACTGTGCTGCTGCTGCTGCTGCTGCTACGGTAGATATTACATTGGAGCTATCCATTATGGCGTACAGTTATACCCAACCACGCTGACAGGTAGAAAATAACACAGCGTACACGTAACATACGAGGTGCAGGTGACATGCGGAGCAAAAACGGCAATCAAATTATAGCTTTGAAATTAATGTCACCGAAACGAGAAATGAAAAGAGAGCGAGCGCGCGCAGCGGGGAGAGAGAGAGAGAGAGAGAGAGAGAGAGAGCAATTACAACTACTTAAACGAAATTAACGTGCAGCCGGTTGCTGTCCGAATCGTCAATTAACCAGACGGTCGCGTTGTTTCTGCAGCTGTTAATGGCTCTCCCTCCGACCGTGACAGCTTCACGTATTGATTGCAAAGTTTACGCGCTCGCCACGGACTTATATCGCGCGCACGTAAGTTGCCATATCTCGATAGTACTTGAGAGAGTGTACTCCCGGAAAACGAAGGTTAATTACCACTTCCGGCGAATCGAGCGTTTCTAATATATATATATATACATCTTGATATATATATATATATATATATATATATATATATATAGTATGTGTGTGTGTGTGTGTGTGTGTGTGTGTGTGTGTGTGTGTGTGTGTGTGTGTGTGTAGTGTGTGTGTGTGTGTGTGTGTGTGTGTG